GGAGGGAAAGGGAAATGGTCATTAACGGCCGCAGCGCTGAGCTCAGCCCACACGGGGCAGCACCAGAAAAAGGGGGTGCAGGTTGGCAGCGACTGGGGTAACCCCCTGCCCAGACCCCAGGGATGGGGGGCGGTGGAAAGCAGTTGGGTTATTTGGGGTTCGGAGTGTGCTTCGCCGTCGCAGGGGAGGGGAGAGAGTGGGCGTTCAGCTGGGGGGGGCTCAGAGCAAAACCGGCCGGGAAACCTCTGCGGACAGGACAAGGGAATGAAAAGTTACGGGGAAATGGAGCTTTTAGCTTTTTTTTTTTAAGGTATGGAGGAGGGTCCAAGAACAGGAACAGACAAAACAAAATACCCTTTTTCCACCAGTTCCTCCAAAACCATCTGTACAACTGACATTTCCAAGGGGTTGATTAATCCAGTCTGGGGCCGAGCTCAGACTGCACATGTTTCCATCTGCCCAGGGTTAGGAAAAGCCTGATTTTCATCGGCTTTCCTCCCCAGGCCAGCCACTCCCTTCCAACGCTGCCTGATAAACTGGCTTCAGAGACAACCAGCCGCTTGGAAAGAGCAGCAGAGGCAAAATCTGCAGTCCCTGTTTATCCGGCCTCGCTATTATATGCATGCAAATGGGTTTTCCTAGGAGCCAGGGAGAGAAACCAGCTGTGACTTTGTTCTGGCAACACCAGCACGGTTGCAACAGGTTGCAAGCAAGCCACCCGGCAGCATGGAGGTGAGCTGCGGCGTTTCGGAGCCTGGAGATGATCCTGAGGGGTTTTTTTAGGCTGCCGTTCGCAGGCACCTGGGGCTTTTGCACGGGACGATGTCGGGCTGCGGAGGGCTCCGCGGAGGGAGCCAGCAGCACCGCACGGCAGCAAAACCCTACAGCTTCTTGCAAGGTCAAAGCTGACCCAAGCGCGGCTCCACGTGGAAGGGAAGCCAAACCTGGCAGCAGTAAAACCATTTGCAAAAGGTTTGTTATCGCAGCTGTAATTAAATAATCAGGAAAGTCATTGAACAGACCCGACGTTTAGTGTGACCGCGGTATCAGAACACAGTGCTGGGCTTCGCACGCTGCCTGAATCCTCACAGGAGTTTTGGGGCCAAAGATCAGCTTCTGCCACAGGATTTGGCTCACCCCTGTTTGCTTTGAGACGATCGCTCTGACGTCTCCACCCCAGAGCAGTATTTTGCAGCTCAGGAGCCAGCACAGAGGGATGCAGTGACTCCTCCATCCCATCTTCCGTGGCTGGACCACGCAACCTGCAGTTCTCTCATCCCCAGGGACCATCCCAACCCCCAGGTACAGGCTCCTCGCTCTGGCCCAAGCCCATCTATGACTGCCCCATGAAAATGAGAGCATCACACGGGACAGATAGTTTGGAGAAGCCACTTTTAATCTGGAGACAGGCAGCTTGTAGAACCTGTTCCTGACGTCACCTCCTGGGACGTATAGCATTGTCCCCATCCACTCTTGCTGCACAGGACCACAACAGACCACCCAGCACCGTCCCCTGAGCTACCGCCTGGGCTTTGCTTCTCTTTATGAACACAGAGAGTCTTTAGGAGCTGCGTGCTCAGTGGTTTATTTCCCTTTTGTAAGGATTCGCCTCCTCGTGGCTCCACCACCACGGGTGGGAGGAGACCTGGGCTTTCAAGTTTCATATTGCTAATCACTCTTGATCCCTGGAATTAACTGCTGGCAATGAGTACTAAATTAATGTCACACAGCCTCCTTGGCAGGGGCGCTGGGACCTCTGCTGAAAGGTGCCCCGGCTCCAGCTGGGAAGGGTGAAGGCCATGCCCTGGAGGAAACGTTTCCAGCTGATCAGTTTTATGCTTTAAATGAAAAGCAGGCTTGGTGTTTTATGATCAGCATTTTTCAAGGACGTATTATTTGGGTTTCAGGGCTGGTATGAATGCAACCTCACCAGTTTATAGGCGAGAAGGCTGGTTTTTTTCAAGAGTACAAAGTAC